TACTACAATAAAAAACACCTACATATATAAGACCATAACACAAAATTTCTATTAGGAATTCTCACTTCGTAATTTTTGGCGATTTTTAAATTTTGTGGGTTTTGTCCGAAGCAGCATCAACACATAATGATTGACACGTTTGGATGCCGTTTTATAGCAAAATCCATTCAGTCCAACATCTTCATGAAATCGATTTAACTTTTGATGGTTAAATCTCTTCCCTTTCTGATACTTTTTTACAACTTATGAAACGGCTTAACGGTTTTTGGACGGTTAAACACTAAAAACATTTTAAATTCTTCACATATATTTTATCTTCGACACCCACATATGAGAAAAATTAGACCAATAGACTGTGTTATTCGCGGAGAATCGACTTAATATTTCTTCGAATGTGAGGATAAAACATGAACACGACGCTGGTTTACCTCTGCCCACGGCTAAATGCATGCTTAAACTGGCTTTCACCAGGGAAGCTGACTAACGATGGTTGAACGAGATCACGGTACCTGACCAGACAGCTATGGCTAAAGTTGAAAGCGAATGGCTAAACATCTTATTCTTCTAGACCGGTTCTCCATAAACATAAACTGGACATATTTAATGGGGCTTCAAGGGAAAAGAATGGGCTATCGATCTGACGATTTTTGACGCAGCTGAAGTGACGAAAAGAGGAGGGACCATCGAGCACTACCTTTGCCACTGTCCAACCTTGACATCAGTGCGACACAAGTTTCTTGGGAAACACTTCTTCGACTGTCTCGCTGAGTTGGCCTCAGCGAATTCTTAGTAATCTCACTGCCTTTATAAGGCACACGAAATGGTTCGATCGAGAAGGTGCAGGCAGGAGCCTCAGCGGTATCACAATGGGCCTATGGGCCTAAACTCGACTCAACTCTATGTCTCCGGCTGGCTATGATCCTTGCGATAACCCTTCTTTAATCTTCAAGCATATTTTATTCAAAAAAAAAAAAAAAAAATTAACGTCTGTTCGCCCATGAGAAAGGCTTATATACTTATATATCAAGACAGCAAGTAACTGCGGACTTTCCACTTTTGCTTTCGGAAATGATGACAAAAAAAAAACATGACAGTGGAAGAACATTTTGTGAAGTTTTTTCCAATTAGTCGCAGCAGTTACCGTTTGGTGAAAATAATGCTTATGTAATTTCATATTCGTTTTATTTACATCCTTCGCCGCACTTACGTTGAAACGATGAGTTTGATGATGAAAGAGGCGGAGTATATATTATATATGTATGTATGTACATATGTATAAATAAAAAGAGAAATTTTAAATTTAATTAAATCAATTTAAATGTTTATTGTTTTTATTTTTATTTCTATTTCTATTTTGTTTTTTCTTTTGTTTTTAATTGTTTTTGTTGCTTTTCGTATATTATTTGATGTAATTGTACAAATCTTTGTTTGCATTTACATTTATGTATGTATGTAGTTATGCATACGTGTATCTATGTGTTTATATTTACGTGTGTTTGTATGTTTATATAATACATTAATTAAAATTTATTATAATAATGAATTGGTTTTTGCTTCCATTTTCTGTTTCACTTCTTTGTTTTCAAACACAAATTATTCACTTGGTTGCTACACTCTCAGCTTCGCACTTGCTGTTGGGCATTTCCTTTTATTTTTCTTCTTCTTTTTGTTTTTGTTTCTAATAATTAATTACAATTAAACCAATTTGTATATGTATTAAAATTATTTACTTAAAAATTAGCAATAATTACAAATACTTCAAACGAATGTGGATTTTCGAAAAAGTAGTAGCTAATAAAGTTGGATAAAAAACACATATATATATATGTATATGTTTGCATATATTACTAATTACACAAAAGATTTTATGATTTTAAAAAAACAAAAATATCATAAAAATACAAATCATAAAAAACGAAAAAAAAATTAACAAAACGAATTAAGCATAAATCCAGTACAATTAACGATATGTCAAGAAAAGAGTAATTTGTTGATACGTGTTTGTATATATATATATGTATATATAACAGTAATAAAGTAGTTATTGATAAAGTGGTAAACTTAATAAAACATTAGAATTGCAGAAGTGGAATTTAATTTTTGGCTGCTGGCTCGCAGGCCAAGCATATCCCAATATTTGCTTTATTTTTTTATTTTGCGGCGACCATATTGGCTTAACCCTTATAAACTACACTTCTATAACACGCTCGCGCTTGCCTCACACTCCTTACACTTTTTCTCTGGCTTTTAACACATTTTCGCTACGATACGAGTACAAATATGAATTAATGTCTTGATTTTTTCTTATTAATTTTCTTTTGAATTTAAGTGACTTTAGCAACCTTTTCATTTTTGTATTCATTTTTATGTACATACAAACATACAATATGTGTTTATTTATTATTTATGTATGCATTTATCAATTTATTAAGCATTTATTGGTTTGCTTTTATTGTGTCTTTGCAATATTTTTTTTTTTGCTTTATTTACGCATGTATGAATGCGACTTATTTTGAAGAAAAAAAAATTCTTTCATATTTTACTTTATCTTGACGCTTTTTAACTTTTATTAAATAAATTTGAGGTTTTCAGCGAACTGAAGTACATACATACAATTACAATAGATATTATCTCAACTTGTGAAGATTCTTCCCAGAACTGCATTTGTTTAGAATTCATAATGAAAGAAAATTTATATACATAAATGCGAAAACTAAATTTAATAAATCCATGAAATTGAATAAATTAAAAAAAAAATTGTTTTAAAAATTAATCTCTCAAAAGTAACTCATTGAAATGTTGAATATATGAAAAATTAATTTATTTATTTATTTTGCCTTTTCAAAATTAAAAACTAAAATAAATTTTTAATTAAAACAAAATTATTTACCAAATCAAATCAATACAACAAAACAATTCGAAATTATTTTCATTTAGAAAATAACGTGTTTTGTAAGCGTAACAACAACAATGACAACAGTGACAGCACACCAAGCAACTCTTTTCGGTGTTAGTTCTGGTCAATGGAACGAGTTGAATGATTTCAGCGACTTTGGAAGATTTCGAATTTTGAACTATAAACAGCAATCGAAGCTCTCACTTTTAAAACGTTTAATTATTATCTTAAAGCTTCCCTGTCTCATGTAACATATTTACAAAAAATTATGCAACTGGAATGTAATTTAATGTTTTTACGAATATAAATACAAATGTTATTTACTCATAAAAAAAAATTAAAAGTTAAAATAAAATTTCTATATTTACACATTTTTCAATAATTTAAAAAAAAATTAAAGACCATACTTCAGTTTTTAAGTAATTTATTCATTATATTTTATTATAGTAACTAGACCCTTTGATTTTTACTGAGTTTTGAAACTGTTTTCTGGCCTAATTACTTCTTATCAAATGTTTTATTCTGCAGATTTCTGTATATTGTAGTACTGTTACTGTACTATTCCGTTACTGGTGAAGAGGGAAATTATTGAGTTGTTACATTCATTTATACCCCACAAACTGAATTGAATTTTGAGTTACTTAAAATTAAATATATATTTGTAGAGTTGTATACTAGTGAACTAATTTGTTGTTCCTTTTTGTGATAATTATATAAATTTCATTTTATTTTTTTAATCACTTTTTATTTTTTGTAATGCAGAAATCTTTCCAAAGACTATATTTTAAAGCAATTTTGAAGCATCATTGGCGCATATTTTGCCGCAGCAACAATACTCGTATACATATAATATAAAATTCTGAAATTCTATAAAATATCGTTTAAAGTAAGGCAAATTCACAAACGGTAGTATTTTGTTTGTGTAATCATAGACTCGAAATGTCAAAGAGGAAATTTGCCCAATGTATTTTGGTTGTGTAATTTGGCAAATTGGAAGGAAGAGCAGCAATCACGTGATGGCAATGTCACGTTCTAGAAATTCGCCTCGGTTTAAACTATGTTTGTATGTCTCCAATTATCCAAAAAAAAAAAATATCGAAAATAAATTTACAATAATTCAACTACAAGCAAAATACATTGAACGATTTTCTTTTTTTACCTCTCGAAATTATGATTACACAAACAAAATACGTGGACCGTGAGGGAATTTGCGTGGGATTTTATATGAATAAAATACCAGAAATTACGATCTTTGAAAAAGTATTAAAAGAAGGGTTCATTGAAAAAATATTGAAATTATTTGAATAATTGTGATAGCATAACCACCAAAATATCATTATTGAGATCGCTTCAAAAGCAATTTTTTTCTGTTTTTCTCTCCAATTTAAATCTTTGCATTAGGACAACTGTTACTCATACTCTGCTCAACCTGCATTCCAAGTCGCTTATGGCAAAATTATTTTTATATTGTAATTTGTTCTAGAACCTTTTAAGAGATTAAAAGGAGTGCTTGCGTAAATGGTGTCCTTGCAAGTGGAGGAAGCTACGGTTCTAACTAACTTCAAAGCTTCTGTTCACAGTCAAAGCACAACAAACAGTAAATGATAAGTAACTCTTCAGTGGGCCAAATGTATTAAAATACTAAAATAATTAAAAAATATCCATGAAAATTTGTCAATCGCATTTTGCCAATTTCAGTTAAGTTTTTTAAAGAAAACTGAGAAAAAATTTCAATTTTTTTTAATCGAGCCAAATAAAAAAGTTCAAAGTGTTTAAAAGTTTACTAAATTGTATACCACATTACTAGAATTACTTAGAATTTTCTTAAATTAAATAAAGTGGTTGAAATTTTCTATATTATATTTTTGAAAATGAACTTTGAATATTTCTTTCATTTAATATTTGCCAAATAAAAGCGGTTATTTAGTGAAGAATCTTGATCCACTTAACAATGTGCAAAGAGTGAATTTGCCTCCAACATTCCATTTCACAATTCATAGTCATTGCTGTGCTTGCTGTTTACACTCTTCTTCGCTTCTGTTTGATCTCATTATGTACAGAGACAATAGTTTCGCTTCAGTTCAAGTTTTACAAAACAAATTTATTTTTATGTTTATTTTTTTATTGTACGAATTACAATTACTGTTGCTCTAGTATTTATTTATGTGTGTCTGTGTGTATGTATGTATTGTAGTTACAAATTATAATATAAAATAGTACTTAAATGTAATATTTTAAAAATATATATTTGTTTATTTGTATGTATGTACGTAATTTTAAAACATTCAAATTGGCTACGATTTCAGTGGACAACGTAAATAAGCGTTACAAAAAAGCAGGACAAACAACAACCAAATCAACAACTTGAAAACAATAATAAGATAAAGATAAAAGTGGAAAGTGGAAAATTCTACGGCAACAGTTAACAGTATGCGGCAGACACACAGAAGACTGGGTCCTTTTATAGTTGAAAACTTTTTGCCTTGGCAGCTGCTGTGGGCTGTTGGTGGCTACATGCTTGATTTCACGCCCAATGCTTGGGGGGTGTTCACGTTGTCGCGTTGTTGTGTTGTTGCTGACTGTTGTCAGGAGTGGCTTTGTGTTGTTTGTGTTTTGTTATATAAATAACAATAATATGCTTAAGTGTACTTTCAAAAATGCCCGAAATTGTGTGCGCCATCCAATTTTACTACACCATTACCTACAACCACCATCATCAACAATAGCAACAACAACAAAAAAGCGGATGATAATTGAGCGAAAACTTTTGTTGTTGCTAGACTAAGCTTGTTAGCGGCTAAAGGTATTACTGTTCTTGCGTTGTTATTGTTGTTGTACTGCTGCAATGCCATAATTATTATTGCTGACTGTTGCTAATGATAAGTCCTGTTGCTTTTGTGTTTCTGCTTCTTCTGCTTTTTGATAGATAGTGCAGTTGTCTTTGAGTGGGTGTTGTTGTTGTTTTAATTTACGCCTTCAAATTCAGGTCAGGCGTCATTTGTTTTTTATAATTATGTTTCTCGTTTTAATTGTTGTTTTTTTTTTGCTTCTGCTTATATTTTTATTGGAATGAAAATTTTTGCTTTCGCATTCGTGGCTTTTTAACGGTATAAATGGCCTCTCTAAGCGCATACTAAGCATATTTTGAATACTACCAGCCTGCAATTTGCCGCTCGTTGACTAAATTTTGAAAAAAAAAAAAACCAACCAACGAAGTTTTCCTGTTCGCCACAAACTGTTTTTCGGCTTTGCTCAGTTGCTCTCTGCTGCCGGCATTTCAGGCATTTCAAGTCGATTTGTTGCCACTTTTGCATGTTGTTATTGTTGCAGCAAAAACAAGTAACGATTTCAAATTGATATTTATTTCGGCCACTTCGTGCATGGCACAGCTGTCAGCATAACTGGACAAGTTGTCAGGTTTAGATTGCCCAGCAGCGCCAGTGTCCTTGTTGTCCTTTTACTGTTTGTGATTATGTTATTGTTGTTTTGCTGTTGGTGTTGTTGTTGAAACCCCAAATGCTTTGTCGTTCATAACTATTGTCAGCGGTGCTGCTGCTGTTGTTGTTGCTGTCGTTGCAATTGTCGTCAACTGTTAATTTATTTATTTATTTATTTATGGGGCTTTTGGTCGCCTTACCCCCATTTGTTGCACAGTTTCCTCACTTTCTACTGTCGCATTTGTTTTAAACTTCTTTGTTTGCTACTACTTTCTTGCTACATCTTCTTCTATGCTTCTTTCATACTTTTACTTATTTTCGAAGGGTTTCTTTCTGCTTCTTTTCGAAACTATTAACTTTATACTTTATTTATTTACTGTGTTATATGTTTTTATTGTTGTAGAAATAGAAATTTATTTGCCATTTTTTGCAATTTGTCTTTATTTTCTCTTAACTTTTTCCGCTCTGCTCTCTGCCTAACAACAAACTAATTCACATTTTTTGTTGTATTGCAATTTTTTGTTTTATTTTGTTTTCTGCATTCATTTTCTTACTTCGCCGCCTTTGAGCATTTCTTTTTTTTTCTCTTTTTATTTTTTCCCTTTTTTCTTATTTTTCTCATTTTTCATTTTTTTTCTTGCTTTTTTGCCTTTGAAGTTTTGAAATTTTTTTGTATTTTTTTTTACTTTTTTATTTTCTTAAATTTCATTTTCTCGTTTTTATGCCATCACGCTCGAACTTTTGCTGCTGCTGTTGCTGTTGAAATTGTTGCCGCTTCTGCTGCTGCTGCTGCTGCTGTTGATGCTGCTGTTCGAGCACAAAATTGTGTTGGTTGCATTTGGAAAATGAGTTTTTCGCTGATGTTACTGCTGACGTGGCTGCTGTTGCAAGTGTCGTTTGCTGCCCTTGCATTTGTCATGGCCGATGGAACCTGCCGCAAAAAACGACAACGGCGACACGAGAAGAAACAAGAAGAGAAAGAGAAAATAAAGAGTTAGTTTAATATTTTATTGCTAAGGAATTTGTGGGGAATATCAAAATAAGCTGAAAATACTTAAGCAAAAATCAAGCGTCGAAGGTGGCGGCCTCAGTTGTTGCCACATTCGCACAGTCATATCGATGTCTGCGCAAATTCAAGTCAAGTGGAGGCAAGTTTGGGGCCACACCACAAACAGTGACAACTAGTTTTCAGTTGACAAATAAATGAATGCATAAATATGAATTTTTATGTGCGATTTTCTACAGACGTTGCTTGTTTTGACTACCTAACCTCAAAACTTTTGAATAAAAAATGCAAAATTCCAGTGCGCAAATAACTGAAAATTTATTGTGAAAAAGATGATCCCGTTACAGAAATATCACAATTAATTTTATTAAATAGAACAGAAAAAGAAACAAATAATCTAGCTTTTTATGCACGGATTCTATCACCAGAGGTTGGGAAGAAAAAATTTACTTTCTCTTTGGAACCATTTCCCTGTAGAAACTGTGCCAGAGTTGCGCTTTGAATTCATTCACGATGGGGCCGATATTCATGTGCTTTGCTATGAGGCGGCGCTCAAATTAATATTGTGCTTCTTAGGGTGGCGCAGGAATATTGCCTATTCAGACCTGCATACGCGTTGTTTGTTGTTCTGCAGTACAGTGAGATCTTATTGTTCATGTTTAGTAACTCGTGCCGTATTTCAATCCTGATCACAATTTTGTCTATAAGTATTAAAAATAAATGTTTTAACAATTCTCCAGGTCTAATAGACTAATAACTCAGAACACAATCGTATATGTACAGCCCGATAGGACAGCTTAGTGCAGGTCAACGGTGGCCTGCGTGAACGTGTTAATTCTTAACCCTTATAATTCCGGAAATATTTAAACTTTCTGTCAGGTCTGCTGTTTTTTATTCGATGAGAAGTTGTAAAAAGCTTCGCAAGCATCACAATAATATCCAGTTTATCGTCATTCTCCTGAAGAACTTCGATGCGCATAATGTGGGGCTTGCCATCCGATAGCTGCCAACATCGTTCAGCGCACCATGGACGTTTTTCAATACATGAAAGTGATAATTTTTGACTGATCAACTAATACTAATACTATACAGGGTTATCCATTTTCGCTAAATAAACATAAATAAAATACATTTTAATTGTTTTTGTATTTCCATGTAATCCTTATTCATTGATATAGGCTGATGAGTTTTTATGAGGAACTTTTAATTTTCATGTCATAAATACACTCGGAGAGGTTGACATTCTTTGCCGTGGGGCGACCGAAAGAAATCCAAGTTAATTTTTTATTTAAATTATTCTTATTAGACAAATTTTTTTTTAACTTTTGAATGTTGGTCGAAGCAGGATTCGAAAACTGGCCTTCCAGATGGCAGCAGGTAGTGCTAATCACTGGGATATCGCGGCCGCCTGACACATTACATCATTCAAATGATCACCTCGCGAATTTTCGCAAATTTTGATCCGGTAATTTTCGACCATTTTTTTTTGCACATATTGGGCGGTATCAAAGCACATATTGTCAAGATCTTTTCTTCAATTGCAAGCCAGAAACCTCGGCTATCATACGACGACAGCGCTCTGAATTGACAGTGAAAGCTTCGCCGTGTCGTTTTCAAAAAAGTAAGGTTCCATCGCAACTCCGGACCAAAGAGCACACCAGACAGTAGGTTTTTTTTTGTGGCCACATTACTTTGATTTTCGGAGCCTCTAGGAAGAAATGAGCATCGTCGCTGAAGAAAATCTTGTTCCAAAAATAGTCGTTCACAGCTTCTTGTTCAAACACTCAATCGTCTGATCGTATGAACGTCGTTGTGAATAGTCACTAGCTTCAGTTGTTGTGCAAAGCTTTGTATGGATGTAGCTGGAAGTTCCAGTGAAGAATAAACCATACTGTGCCATAGGAAAGTCCCAGCTCTGGAGAACGTCGAGAAATAGATATATTCAGGTCTTCGGCAACATTTTCACTCACATTAGATATTTGAGATGAAACGATGGTGCACAGACCGCCTTCAATATCTGTAACCGATCCGGTCTTGTTAATTAAGACTTTTATGCACAGCATAATCTCCTTTTAGAGCATGTAATGAGGCAACGGTTGAGTCTCCAAAGCCCTATACGTGTATAACATCCCTCTCGTTACTACGCTTATAACTAAATTACGACTGGACCGATTTCCCGGACTCGCACTAATTCCAATTGATGCCCGACAAGAAGAATACAATAGAAAAATCCGATAAGTGGTTCAGAGACCGACCTTTTTGAAAGAAAACCCGTTTTTTTGATGCGATTTATTTACGATTTCATATGCAGAGAGCTTTTGCTTAACGAGTAGATTATCATGAAACATAATTTTAATAAAAATTAATAGAAATTTTTGCTTTAAAATATATAATCAACATGAACTAATTTTTGCTACCAGCTGAAAGTATGCACATAAATTTGTTCATTTAACCGTTTCAAAGCGGCATAAACTAAATACACGGAGACATCATTCTACTTTTTTCAACTACAAATTGAGTGCGCTCAACTGAAAAATTGCTTAGCGTCCGTCCACCTCAAATGAAAAGGTTGTTTTGCGAGTAAATCAAAAAATAATAAAAAAATTAACTAATTTTCGATATCCTAAACTACATACATATACATTGTGTATACATAAATACATGCCTACATTTATATATTTTACATTTCTTAAACAAAAAAAAAAAAGAAGTAATTTATATAAAATGGGCAGCAGCTGCACAGAATTGGTGGGAGGGAGGCAGAAAAAGTCGACATGAAGTTAGTTTATTATCAAAATACATATTTGTACATATATGTACACAAGCAGGCCGTTCGTAACACTTGGCAGCAGTGTTTAGGGTAACCGACTGCATAGCACAACAAGGGTTAACGGTAATTGATTTCATTTAAAATTAAGGTTCGCATTTCCTAACAACTAGAAATATGTATGTATATTGTTAAATTCGACAAAATTTCATACAAATATTTCGCCGAAAGACATTAATTTAAATTGGCTCTTTTGTCACTAACCAAAATCTAATCCGCTCAACTTAATTGGCTTCTTAGAATGTGGTCCGAGGGACGCAAAGAAAAAAGTAGATAAATACAAAATAATTATATAATTATTATCATCTAATTTAATATGATATATTAATAATATATGTATGAATTGAATTTTTGTTATACAACAAAGAAAAATGGTAGAACTGACAGCTGATCACCACATCTCCTCATCAGACTTCTTATGGCAGGGATCGAACCAACGGATCCCGACTTAACAGGCGAGTGTTCTACCACTGCGCCAACATCAGCCATATAATCTGTTGTTGTATTATTCAATTCATTATTAACCAACAACTATTAAGTGCGCTAATTTAGCCGCTATTTTCTTAACAGCTTGGCTAGTGTGTTGTGCTGGAATCCTCTATACTTTCAGGCGTTAATTGACTGATTGTGTAGGCAGGTTTTTTTCATTAAAATAATAAATTACTAATAATTTTTGAGTAAAATTAAATTGAGTAATAATTCAGGAAAAAAATTGAAAAATCGATAGAAATAAATAAAAATATTTAGTTTTCAATTAATTTCTATCTGACTAAAATGGAACCATTCAAGAGCTAATTAATCAGAATGGAATTGAACAAATAGTTTGCTTAATTGCTTAGAAAAAAAGGCATTATTGCCTTTACATTCAAGTTTATTTCTTCCTTTCTTTAAAATGTATTCTGCACCATGTATTCGCTCAACACTTTCAAATGGACGTGATTAAATGGAGAGAGTTTTTTAGAATTGTTTGACCAACTTTCCTTCGCTTTCGGATACTTTTCATTCTACGAGTATTTATTTAATGCCCACCATAAAATGCACCATTTCATTTTGAACACGTTAAGGTTGTGTCTGTTGGGCATGTTTAGAATGTTAGCTATATTCGCATTGCATCCCATATAAAAATGAAATACTCTGATAAGTTAGCAGTGTGTACACTTGTGCATTGTTATGCATTTAAGGCCACTGCAGTTGCTGGTTTTTTATTTCAAACAATGCAGTTAACGACATTCCCATGTGATTGGTCTTGATGTGTCTTCGATGTTGTGAAAACAGTTACATACTATATACATACACGTACGTTGCATACATATACAAATACAATTGTATGTTTTACACATGTTCACTCTGATTTGAGCGTGTCCTTGCTGTCCCAAGAGCATAGCTTGGTATGTAGTGCGAATTTTCACAATCAAAATTATATGTTGTAAGTACATAAATAGTTATGTACATATGTATTACAATTGTGATTACATTTTTTGTGCGGAAGTGGTTGAGGTTATGTTATGATTGCGCGGAAAATAAATAAAAAATGAAAAAATTTATAACTCTATGTCCTTGTGAGGTTTTTTTTTATTCAAATCTGGTTGCCAAAACATTTTCACAAGCTTGATGTAGCTTTCTTTCATGATATATTAAACGTTCTTTCGATGTTTGCAAATATTAGACATTTATAGGCGAGTGGTTACTAATGGGAAGGCCAGGGTACGAGTCCTGATCTGACCAACAACTCAAATTAAAGAAAATTAATTTCAAGAAAATTTTTAATGAATATTTCTAAAAAGCGGTCGTCGACCCTCGTTCGGGAACATCAAGCCCTTCGAATGTTTTTTTGAAATAAAGTAAGGATTCCTCAAAAAAAAAAAACCATCAGCCATAAGGAAGCGGCTTAGATTGAACTGCAGATTCCTGCATTTGTTGGAAAAACATCAAGACGCTCCTCACAAATTAGACGTGGAGCTCAAGCGAAAATCGTGTTAGCGGTTATAGGCCGATGCCACAATTTAAACCCCGACCGGAAGTAACATAAAAAGTACTAATTTTACATATTGAGTGTTGATGTCGTTGGAATTGATTTTATTTAAAAATCATTTTTAAATATTTTCAATTCGATTCGGGAAACACTGATGGTGAAAACAATCGAAGTTCAAGCATTCATAACCAAAACTATCACTCTAACATTGTAACTCAGTACTCCAGACTTACATTGTAATCATAGGCATCCATCATGTCATCGTGATTACAAAGTAAAGCTCTCATATTTACTTATTTAAATAAAAATTTGTTTTTGGGTAGAACTTTAAAATTTAAATAGCAAAGGACCCGAAATTATGTATTTATATACATAGATATGTACATAACAGAAGTAAATTGTCGATAATTTTGGCATCGGATGTAGATAACTCATACATATATACATAGCTCCCATGCAACTAATTGTTTAGATGCGCGTTTTTTGATTTATATATATATATATATATTTATAAATTTTTTATAGCCAAAATTCAGTTCCGCTGCAATTAAGTCGAACATAATTTTTTCTTTTTGCGTTTTATATTTAAAAATATTTATATTAATTTTTTCCTACGCTTCTTTTCATTATACTTGGAAAGACATTGTAATTCTCTGCAAATCTAAATTTTTCGATTTTGAGGATCGTGTCAGAACTACTTTTTGTACTTTAATATTCATCTTATTTGACTCAAAGAAATCAATAATAGAATTTTCAAAAGAGTTTTATTTGCATAGTACCGTTATTTGGATTGTTGAACCAACAAAAGACTAAATTTTGTAAAATTTATTGATTCTCAAACACTGTCATTCACATTGTGTAATGTTACTTGAAAAATTTATAAGGACCTCTTGCTCGCCCACACTCGTATATGCTTCCATTTATTTCACACGCCCGCCCCATTCAAGTCACGAAGAACGAATACAATGAATGTTTACTCCTAATTTCTTTATATTCGCTGATGCCCTTGCATTTTATTGCATTAGTTGCAATTGTAGTACGAGCATATAAAACGTGTCTCGTGCGTACATAGAAATGTAGCTGCAAATGATAGCTGCGTAACTGTGCACATGCCACATATATACACATGTAGCTGGCGGTGAAATATTAAACTGGTCAGAAAAGTACTAGTTTTCTTCTAAAGCGAAATCAAACAAGACCGAAAACTCGATCAAGTGAAAACTCTATACAACTGCGCCTGAACGATAAATGGAAGTAGTTTTTAACTAGTTTCCTTTTTAGCAAGTTTTATTCCCACAAACTTATACATGTATGTACATACTCTTAAGAGCATGCACGTGGCATGAAGTGAGCACTTGGAATGAATGTGCCCCTCGACACTGGCATTGTCGGGTGACAGGAAGTGACATTGAAATGAAACTTTTTCCTTAAAGCCAACATTTTTGCCAACACTTTATTTTTACTGTTTTCCCTCATGCACAAACACATTCCTTATTTTCTCAGCAAATATTTTAAAACTCCATATCTGTGCCTGCATGTGTGCCAATGTGTGTGAGTAAGTCAAAGCTGCTCTGCTCTTCTCCATCCGCTAAATTGCGTCATTACAACAATTGTAATTTATATTTTTTTACACATTGTTCATTTCACACTTTCCTCTGACAAGCATTTAGAGACACACACACACAAGCTGATACATACGCAAACATATGTTCATTTAGTATTTTACGTCCCTTTGACCTGTTTTTCGTTACCATTTCTTTTATTTGCTTAATGTGTGTGTGCGTGTATTGGTGTATTGTGCGGTTGCATTGGGCAGAATACTAGCTCACTCGACTCCCGTCTTCATCAACGCCATACTTGGTTGAGGCTCTTAATAGTTGGCAATTTAAGCTGAACCGAATGGCAATGGTTTTAGTGGTCTTTTGTCTGCAAAAGTAATGCCCAAATGACTTTTTAATTAAGCCAATTGACAGGCGAAAGCTTAGGATGCTAGGGCATTACATATGTGGTCTGGGCTGGTAAAGGCTGAAGGGATGACCACATTTTTCTCATTTCGAATTGTTGGAAAAAATGTAAGAAAAATGAAAAAAATGTGAAAATTGAGAGCGAAAATTCAGAATTAAAGAATTCGTCCACCCTGTGGGACTAAGCTCCGCTTTTAAGTTGTCTTCCTTAAACACACATTAGGGAAAAATATTCTTGCATTAAAAAATAAAATGAGAGCGAATTGAAGGATTTGGAAAGGAGAGAAAAAATAAATTCATCAGTTGCTGTATGTGAACTTAGTAAGATATTTATAATGCAGTTAAAAACTCTAAATAAACCGTAAGAATTGAATAAGAATGTAACAGAATAGAAAAAAACGTATTCTTCAAGAAGGCTGTTCCCTAAAGCTTGTATAGACTATGCGCTTTCACGGTTGAAAGCTTAAACTGAAGCAGTCGGCTTCTATGTCGGCTGTATGCTTTCACAAGCCCTACTACTGCTAAATCGAATTAGGCATCAACTGAACTTTATGGTCCAAGCATCTTGCGCTCTGTTTGTATATAATGATACTGTTTGGTTACTTCTCATAGAGAGGAGGAAGAGAAACTGACCTAGACCAAGTCCCCCTAACGGCACACCACATAAACTGAACCAAAATTTTGAAACTGCACAGATACTAATATTTTTCAGAGCTGAGCTTAGACTCAACCGCGCAGGAAAACCAGTATATAGAGTAGGGCGTGCTCATGACCGCAAAATTTTCAGCTCTCTAGTGCAAATACATAAAAACATCATAAGTCCCCCCCAACTTACCTTGTCAAATGCCGACTACCCTCATGCACCGCCATTTCTGATGATTTGAACTCATTCAATTCCTTACGTATGGCAGCCTTATCCTTCGGCGTCAGTCTTGTCCATGGCTTATCAGCACGTCGATCATAATCGTGCGCCTGTGTCACCTCAATATAATCGTTGAAACGTATGATTTTCTTCTCTTTCAGCTCCTCGACGGTGGGTCGGAAACTCAGCTTACGCAACAAATACGATTTCTTCTCCTCCTTTTGTTTCTTCTCTTCGGCGGGTGATTGTGCTGAACCAATAAGAAATAAGAATCAAATATAATTACATATGACACATACATATTATATATATATATCTATATAAACGTGTATGAATTTCTCATAATCTACTCACTCTTTAATATATTGCGCTCCACCAACTCCTCCGCTGTGGGTCGCATTGACAATCGACGTATGAGCCGTGCGCCAATCGCCTCCTTAGACTCTTTTATCTCATTATCGGTCACCTGATGCAAGATATTCCGATTGATTAGATCCTGTTTATCGGGTCGCAGCTGTAATTTCAACGATAAGGACTCTTTACGCGCAATTTTCGCCTGCCGGTCATTATCATCTTCACGATACAAAATACGTCCATCACCCTCGTCGCTGTCGCTGCTGCTCTCGCGTATCACAAACGGTCGTGTATTCTCCTTATTCTCAACGGTGCAGGGCAGATTGATGTTGAACACTTGCTGCCTGCTACGTTAAGTGAAAAACCACAAAGTTGAGGTTTGACGGGACGGTACGGTGGTAAAGAGATTGTAGCATTAGGCCAGGCGCATTTGTGGGTGTATGTGTGTTTATGATTGTGTTGTTGATTGGATGAGCGTTTCGTGGCCGGCAGCAGCGTGTGTTTTTGTGGTGGCAAATAAAGTGAGAGAGAAAAGTTTTTATAAAAAAAGATAAGTAAAAATTTTTGCTTTGATTTATTCGATTAGAATTTAATGCAGATTTGTTGTACATATGCATATTCATATATTTACTAATATGTTTTTTTTTTTGTGTAGGTGTTTTACTATATACTTTTATATATTCAGTTGTGTGTATGGTACATGTGTCATACATACAAACGAGTATGTGTAAACGTAAAATGCATAAATATCTTTTAAGGGCTTCTACTTTGCATGCAGCAGTGCTTACTAATAACGGTAATTTATAGACATAGCATGCAAATATATAAAAGGAAACATAAGAAGTGGCAAGGAAAATAATTGAGGTATTAAATAAATAATTGTTTTTAAACTCTAATATTATTATATATTTTTAAACAAGTTTAATGAAATAAGGAAAAATACTGGATCGATTTTTGTGGCGAAAAGTCGGCTTTAAATTTTTTTTAATGTCGTAACGCTATCAAACATTCACAAAACTTGTTATTAGGAATTGAAATAAAATTAAAAATAATTGTGCCATAACCGTAGCCCAGTTAAGAGTTCAACTTTTGCAAGAAAAATAACTGAGAGAAACTTTCTTGATTTTTACTAGGATTGGAAATTTATAGAATCAAAGTATCTGTTAGTTAACAAAAAAATTGAGTTGTGAGTCAGATGCTCTCTGCAGCCGTCGTTAAAAAACTAAATAGAAATAGCTCAACATCAAACGCCACAAAAACAACAGTTTGTATTAAAAATTATAATTTTTAATTTTTTTTTAATCTTATTTAACAACTTTTTTTTCATAAATGATAGCCATTTTAAACAAAAACAATTGATCATGAACATTTCTCCACAAACCTTAAATAAACAAAAAAGAGCAGCATAAATCATAAATAAACCCGTCTTATCCTTAACTCTATCAGATCGATACCAAATACCAGCTTATACATTTTTTAAATGAAATGAGTGAAACTCTCTTTGCAAGTCTTCTTCTTGATTACAGATTTCCTTTTCAAATACATGCTTTCGATGCTTTACTGTGTTTAGGAATATTCCTACCACAACACCACCGAGTGAGTATTTTTTATTCGGTACATAACAAGTTCCGTATAAATAAAAGCATTTCTAGTTATTTGACCAACTATGGGTTTAAATTATTTCAGTTAAATTGATTTTTTTTGAATTTGATAAGTCCAAACATATATTCTTTCTTTAAGGGTTTTTAAGATTTTTGTGTCAAATAATGAACTTATTTTATTAAAAATGATCCAACATAAGATCTTACTTGAAATACTTATGTAATAAGTGGAAAATATTTCAACGGATTAACTAATACTTTTTGTTACTTTTAAGAAGGTACTCATATACACCCCTAAATTCATGGAATATTATGAGAAAAAAAATACTAAGTACAGTTACACTTAGTCGTTTGTTGATAGCCCTGCGGGTTGGTGGTTCTAGAGTTTATGTGCGGTAAAGCATCCCTGTCCTGCAAGGCGACTAAAATCCAAAAGTTCCTGCGACAGTCGGGTTTTTATACCGGAACGACCCAGTTTTTTTTTATCCAGGCAAGGATTGTAAACCCCACAACATTCCGCAAAAACTACTTTGACATAATTTAATTATAAATAGTGTTTCCAAAATTTCAATGAAAGAAGTGCACTTACACTGTGAGGAAAGTTTGTGCATCATTTCGTTCTAACAATAATATTGTCGCGAAATACAAAGCTTTAACCTCTAGATTAATTTATGTTGTTGCTGTCAGAATTTTCAACTCATTACCATATTCAATAAAATGTATCAACACGATTAGAGGCTCCAAAACAGCAGTTATGAACCTATTTGTATAATACCCATACCTATCCTCAGTATCTATGTTAACATACTTTTGATATCCCTCCTTTTAGGTATGATATTATTTATAGCTTTTCACAAGATTAAAATAGGCAGATGCAATTCCTAATGTACGGATAAATAAATTGAAATTGAAAAATAAATAAAGAACAAAGGCTAAAACAAAGAAAACATAAAAAAAGCTTTATACATGAGCAAAAATTAAGATTGATTAGCGTCCACGATTTCAATGCCCTCGTATTGACTTGAACGCATAGACGTGAAGAAATATATGGAAATAAAAACATGTTTCGGTGAAAATTCCCTTTTTCAACATTTCACATCCCACTTTTCCTGTGCCGAATCGCCTATGATTTTTTGATTTCTCATTTATTTAAATAATACATAATCTATTAAAAGATTAAAAGCTTCTGAAATGACTTTTCTGAAAGCTCACCTCGTTGACTTTGCTTTTCTTTTATATAAAGTTGTTCGCCATCAACGAAGTTGTTGTACTTAAAAAAAACCTACATACATACATATACATATATACATATGTGTGTGGAATAAAAAAGGAATTAAAATTCAGTCAGCAGTGCGGAAATAAATGCGTTGGTAAGGCAGCAGGAGCGAGTTGCGAACCCATATGCTAATCTATGCATATAGAGTCACACAAATGCACTACGTACTCGTATACATACATACATGTACTGAGCATTAAATTATTTGCACTTTGATGACATTTAATGTGAAATGTGGTGAAACATGTAGATAAAATGAAATGAATAAATGTTTGTAGCTACGGATGTGTGCATGTGTGTATGTGTGTATGTGACACCATAAAAGTCGGCAAATGTGCTGCTAAAATTCCTGAGCACATTGATATATTTTTCTGCATATATGTAGATGTGAATTATGTATTATGTGTAAATACATTTATGCAAAACATTAAATGTGTTCACCATTTACCATCACAAACAGAACAGAAAATGAAGACAAGAAATCAAAAGGTAGAGTTTACAGTGTGTACAATAAATTTGCGGACAAAATATTATTTTAATTGAAAAAAATAATAATTATTACCATAACACGATATTTGATTTGAGGAATAAATTAACTTTTTCCTAAATTAATTACTATTGAAAATCGCAATTAAATTTATTGTTCTTTAACCAATTTCGAAGAGAATTCACCTTTTTCTAGTGGCAGTGATACAGACTACTCAATCTATATGAAAGTTATTCACTCTTTCAAACATATATATGTATTGTATATGGATGGTACGTGGGGGGCCATGCACATATGCATATTTTCTTTGTAATGCATAAGTTACTATGTAAGCGTGTTCATTGCGTTTATTTACTTGCTGTACTTAATGAGCATGTGCGTGGCAAAAGATAAAATATTGCGTACATACACATTTACATATATCAGAAGCCAAGGCAAGCTATGGCAGCTTCCTGAAGCTTGTCGCTCACACGAGTGTTCTGACGTATTTTGTCATGTATATGTGTCAGGTCTTAAATTAAATATAAATTAAACATTGAGAGATTTACTGAAATTTACGTGTTTTCTTCTTATTCTTGAAACGAAGAAATAGAGTAGTTTCCAAAGCTGTCTTAATAAAATGTTTATCAAAAAATTAAAAGAAATAAAATTACAAAAATTAAAGAAATAATTAGTTGATCAATGTTGAATTTAATTTTTATTAATTATTATCTGAATCATTTGACTAATCTCAACTCATTATGACTCAATCTCCTAGTAAACTCATTTTGACTCAATCTCCTAGTTATCTTTTTTCCAAGTTATCGTTTACTCGGTCAGCCAGAGTAGGTAATATTATAATACCTTTTCATAAATCACGGCAGTCATCAAGGCTGTTCTTTGTCAATGCTAGTCGATTATGGAACTCTCTTCCTGCTAATTTAAGGAGGAAATTAAACAGAAACAATTTCAAGAACCACATATATATGTATTTTTAAGGCCAAATTTCAAACATAGACTGACCATTTAATAATTGTTTAAGCTTTAGTCATACTCAGCTCATTATATATTATTATTATTTTTGTTAACGTATCTGTAAAGTAATATTTACTTATTCTTCACACTATCTCTGTTGTACTAAAAAAGATATGGAAATCTTTTTGTACTAATGCTTTGTTATTATTATTAAATAATTAAATAAAAGCAGTAGGAAATAATCCGATTGCCATATTGAAAAAGCTGATGACCTTATTAACTAGTAGGCCTAGCTAGTTGCTAATAAATTGATTTTCTACTTAAGAAGCAGCGAATATATGATATATCATGACATTTTCGTCGATTCCTTTCATGTAAATTTTAATTTAGGCACTACATTTTAAGCAAATTGAATTTAGTCTCCGCTCCGCTTTTGGGGGAAAAAGGTACTTTATATAATTATATAGTCAAAATAGATACAAAAAAATCGAGGAAATTGAACCATGGCTTACAGTCCTATAAAAGGTACACGAACACATTGCCAAGCCGAAATATGGCATCTATGTGCTTTTCATTAGCATCTACAAATCTAACGAAAAAATGAAGTTGTTCTTCTTTGAAGAAAAGAATAATTTTTGCTGAAATACACGTATAAACAATTCGGTGGGGAAAGAGAGTGAGAGACGGAGAAAGAACGCGTTTCTTTTGTGGAAAAGAACAGGTTAACAACAAATTAAGACGACGGCCGCTTTCCTGGCGCCAATAATTAAAATCAGTTATGTAAGTACTTCTTAGTTAAGATAGTGAAGTGCAGATTTATAAAAAATTCATTTAAAAAAATGCATACGAAAATCAAATTTACATAAATCTACCGCAAGATTCATTCACTGTATTGACGAGTCTGTTAAGTATAGCAAAGTAATATTGAAAAATAACATTTGTTGACATTATATTCCACTGATCATAATATCAGGTGGCATTATTGTCTATAGTAGTAGTGTTGCGTGGCGCTCAAAAGGTGTTTATTCG